GATGTTGAGCGGGTTGCGCGTATGGGTCGACGGAGCTGTGGCCGGCGTGGAACTGACCTTAGGCCTGCCGGTCATGCAGAAGCTGGGTTACCCCTCCTTATGGAAGAGACGTTGGTGGACGACATCGACGACGACGAAGGGATGTGCTGCGCGACTCCAGACTGGGGTACGGACCTTCCCAGGGCATGGATGAAGAGTCCGTACGGCGCTTACAAGACGTACTGGTGGAGTTCAAGGACGTATTCCGTTTGAAGTTCGGTCGGGATCCTCCGGTCAAGGTGGAGCCGTTGAAGGTGCATCTAAAGCCCGGATCCGTTCCAGTGAAGTCAGGACTTCGGCGTTACCCACCGACCCATGTACTTGGAGAAGCACGTACGTGAGCTTGAAGAAGCCGGTTTGGTGTACCGTAACACTCGGTCACGTTGGGCCGCCGTGCCCCGTATCGTCCCGAAGAATGACCCAGGCGACCTACGGATGACGATCGACTCAAGGCCGATCAACGCGTGTACGGAGCCGATGCCATGGCCGATGCCCAACTTAGAAGTTGCGATGTCCGTACTGCAAGGCTCTACGGTGTACTTCACTCTGGACTGGATGAAGGGTTATTGGCAACTGGCCTTACACCCTAACTCCCAGGAGTACTACTCTTTCATGACGCCGGTATGGGTTGTCACTCCAACGCGGGTGCTGATTGGCCAGTCGGATGCGGTGGCGTACTATCAAGGCGTTGGGGACGAGCTGTTCGGAGACATGCTCATGCACGGTCTGCTCGGTTGGCTCGATGACCTGCTGGGATACGCCGAGAATACGGACGACTTGCTACGTTTGCTCCGTCAAGTACTGACCGTATGCCAGACGTACGGTCTCAAGTTGCATCCGGGCAAGTGTACGTTTTTCACGACGATGACCGTATGGTGCGGAAAGGAGATCTCTGCGAACGGCGTGGCCCATGCTCCGGGCCGAGTGCAAGGCCTTTGCGATTTGGAGCCGCCACAGACGGCCGCGGACCTCCAACAGTTCCTGTGTGCTGCGAACTGGATGCATGCGAATATGCATGCGAATATCCCTCAGTATATGGAGCTGGTGGCCCCGTTGACGAAACTTATGGACATCTCGGCCAAGGCGGCCGACTCCCGTAAGAAGACCACGCTGACCTGTGTGGCGTTGAGTTCCGTCGGTTGGTGTGACGATCATCAGGCGTGTTTCAAATGTATCAAGTCGACATTGAAATGTATGGTGCCTTTGGCCCACCCAGACCCGGACCGTATGGTTTGCCTCTATACGGACGCGAGCGAAGGATATTGGGGTGCGATCGCGACTCAAGTACCGGTTGAGGACCTTGCGTTGGCGGCGATCGACCAGCGGCACGAGCCGTTGGCGTTTCTGAGTGGAGCGTTCCGGGGCGCGAGCGAACGGTGGCCTATAGTGGAGAAGGAGGCGTTTGCGGTGGTGGAGTCCTGCAAACGACTTGAATACCTCCTCATACGGCCAGGGGGTTACGTCTGTTTACGGATCACCGTAACCTCGTGTACATGTTCAACCCGTTGGGGTCGAACTCCAACGTGGCCAAGTATCAGGGAAACAAGCTTCAACGTTGGGCGATGACGATGACTACGTTCCAGTACGTGGTGGAATGTGTGGCCGGCGAAGACAACTTATGGGACGATCTGCTCATCCGTTGGGGAAGTGTTCCCATGGAAGCTCGTGGCGCCCGTATGCGAAAGTTGGCATTGGTCTTGCCCTTACGTACGGACACGTTCCTATGGCCTACGGCGGACCGTATTACGGAGCTGCAACGGGCTCATACGGACTGCGAACGGTGCGCGACCTGGAATCCGGAGAAGAAGTGTTTCCAAACGGCGTCTGGCAAGATATGGATCCCAGATGACGCGGTGGACATGCAAGCCCGTATCTGCGTCGTGGCTCATGCCAGCGCGGCCGGACACCGACGAGTTCAGGCGACTACGGAGTCCGTATCGGAAGTTTTCGAGTGGACGACCTTGAAGACGGACGTCAAGAACTTTGTTACGGCGTGCCTCCATTGCATGGTCGTGGACGGTGAGTCCGTATCCCATCCGTGGGGCGAGGCGTTGCACGCGACGAAGCCCAACGAGCTGATCCACTTCGACTGGGTGTCCTTTCCTGAAGCGGCGGACGGACTGAAGAACGTCTTGGTGACCAAAGACGACATGAGTGGGTTTGTCCGTCTGCACGCAAGCGCGACGGCTACGGCGGTTCAAACGGCCGCTGCCCTTATGGAATGGTTCGGTCTGTTTGGCGTGGTGGAGACTTGGGTGTCGGACTGCGGGTCGCATTTCAAGAACGAGATGGTGAGCACCATCGACCGCATGTTCGGCGTGCACCACCATTTTGTTACCCCGCACTGCCCTTGGGCGAACGGAACCGTGGAAGTTGTGAACCGCATCATCGTACGGACGTTGAAAATACTGTGCAGCGAGATGCGTCTGCAGCCCAAGGAGTGGCCGAAAGTCCTGCCACTTGTCCAGTCCGCCCTGAACCAGCAACCTGCGGACCGTATGGGCGGAATTGCACCAACAACGCCGTTTACCGGCCTACCTGCGACCATGCCATTGTCTGGCCTTGTCCATGCGGAAGGTGCGGAAATCGCCACGATTGATTGGATTCAGTCTAAAGCCAAGCGACATGTGGTGGGCCTTGCGAACGCCTTGTCTGTGACGCACAAACAAGTGACTGAAACGGCCTCGGGCAAGCGAAACAAGGCCCGTATGCAGCGAAAGGGATATCATACGGTCAAGTTGGCGCTGGGCGACATCGTCTTCGTGGATCGTGCCTTGAAACACCCTGGCAAGCTGACACTACATTGGAAGGGTCCGTACCGTGTGGTCAAGGTGGTTTCCGCCAACTTCATGGAGGCCCAACAGTTGGCCCCACCGGACACGATCTCCCTCACCATGCCAGTCAACTGCGTATGTTTCTGCGAGGGTGGCCTCGAAGTCGACGAAGACCTGAAGGCGCAGATTGCGTTTGAAGATGAAGGGTTCTACGTCGAGGCCATACAAGACCAACGCATGCATGATACGGTCTGGCAATTCAAGATCAAGTGGTACGGCTTGGACGATTTGGAGTCCTCATGGGAGCCGGCCCTTTCGATCTATGAACACGTGTCCGTACTTTTTCGTCGTTGCACCAAAGACGGCATGAATGAAGACGGCGTGAGCGAAATGGTTGAAGACATCGAGCGTGCGTGCGGCCATTCCTTGTAGGGGGAAGTGTTCTCGGCGTCAGCCTCGTGTCAACTATAAGTGCGTCAGTGTGTGTAGCCGATGACCAACATCCGCGTCCGGATGTGCATGATGGTTGCGCAACCAAATTATTCAGTGGTTGAGGTAGACTGTAGCAGATGATTGGTTGTAAGGAAGAACTTCGACATGATTGATAATGAAGTTCACTTTTGGATTTGTCATTGAGGTCACCGTTGTGAACACGGTAGCCGTCAGTTGTGAACACCGGTGCAAGACAACAAAGTACTCTTTAGCTGTCTTTAGACACGCTAGCATCTGAACGCATGGAAGACCCCTCGAGTGGGAACGACCGTGCCATGAACGTGGAGCTCCCTGGCAGCGACCACGTTGAAGAACGCGAAGATCGATCGCCTTCGGATCGCTCCGCAAGTCCGACGGCCGGATCTGCATTTCAACACTTGACCGTAATTACAGTATTAATTGTACGGATTGAGAATTAGTGTGGCTTCAGAATTAGTGCGGTCCACACAAATACATGTAACGTTATGACACAAACTTGTAATATTAATACACCTTTTTTCTATTGACTTGGGACTTATTTCAACGTTCTTGGCTTGGCGCTCATTCGAAAGGACGATGTGTCCATTCATTTGGCCTTGCGACCAATAGAATTGAACACCCTTTGAAATGTACCATGCTACCAATGGAAAATGCTTGACTACCCCACAATGTGCCAAGTAGCATTTCGAATCTGCCGTGGTTGAAGTTGAGTTGGATCGAATATGGAAAATTATTATCAAATATGCGACGGCATTAAAAGAGCACATAAGTTTAAAATCATTGAACTTGCAGCAAACAACTACATGCCAACTTCCATGTCTTCCAATCGGTCCGCACGACCGTAGAAGTACTCCAGACGAAGCGCAAAGCGACTCAGTCGGTTTGGTTCAATGCCTAAAGCATGAGTTAGAGTACTGTATAATGACCAAGCAGCATTACCTCGAATCACTTCGTCGGCAGTATGTTCGAGATACTGCATCCGACACTCCTCGCGAATAGATCCATAGGGGGATGGACCCATGAATGCCGCAAGCCGCTCACGCAAAAGTGCTTTGACATGCGCCTTGAAGTGAGACCACAGATTTCAATTGGATTCATCATTGGCGAATAAGGCACCAAACGCAGCAACGTGGCCGGACGAAATTCATCCTCCGCAAAGACATTTTCGAGCCTATTTAACATATAAGAATTTTGAAACAAATATCTGTACCTCGAATGACACCGCGCATTGTCGGCAATGACGAGAGTGTCTTGAAGTCCGCCATAGTGGTTCGTTGCAGCTTGCAACATGCCACGAATCCACTCATTCGCTTCGCTTGTGCGTGCAGTAGAAAATGTTCGTCGTGGAGATGGCGCCAATGACGTGCAAGTTCTTCCCTTTTTGAGTCCCGCCGCGGATGGAAACGGCACGTCGTCCACACAACGACCGGGCCTTAGTGAGACTCGTGAACAGGTTGAAGTTCGTTTCGTCGATCCAGATGGGTATTTTGCCTTGACCCAAGAGGTCGCGCAGTTGCTGGACGTATTCGCGTCGCTTTTCCTTGAACGTTTGATCGTTCATTTGCAGTGGTTGTAGTGAACCGATTTGAACGTGTAGACACGCTTGTCAAGTTCTCGATGGAGTGTGGACTTCGACACTTCGATCTCCAACTCCAACATGAATCGATTTGTGAGTCGAAACTCAACCCAACGCACAAGCATGTCCACTTGGTCTGGGGACAACAGTTTCGGTTCGTTCCCTCCAAAAATGAATCAGTATATTGTAGGGAGATGGAGCTGCACCTTGCTTTTTGGGTATGAGGGAGTCGAGGTGCAACCAGTTTCAAGCTGTGCGCAATTTGACACCGTTCGCCACTGCAACCGCCTTCCAGTCCTTTGTAGTGTCGGACGCATGAACGATGCGACGCTCCCAGACAAGGGGATGCGCTTGTATTTCTTGCGTGGCTATGAGCATGGTTAGTATATTGTGAGTGACGACGTCGTACTGGTATTTGTGGTGCAGCGTTCTCTATTGTTGTACGGAATGCGATTTTGAAAAGAGCGCCAAGCCAAGAACGTTGAAAAAAGTCCCAAGTCAATAAAAAAAAGTTGTAGTAGTTAGTACGTACGATTAATACTCTGTCCAACAAGAATTGGCACATTGGTTTCAAGGGCGTGATCAATTTTCAATGAATGTACGATTGTGATTGGATTCACAGTCAGGCTACATTTGTAGACTTTTCAGCTGGAAATATTCGATATAGTTATCGTTCAAAACCTATGGGGAGACAAACGTGTTTTGCACAGCTTTTAGTAATCAAAGACTCGCCAGCGTCGCAAAATCCACTTCAACATCGTTAAAACCGTACATTTATGTTGCTATTGACTTGGTGTTTACCATGACAGCAGTGCATAGACCGTGGAATTTCACTCTCAAGGGAATGTAGAGCCACTCCACGTGTTAAGCTGGATATCGTGAGCTCAAACACGAATTTAAACTTGTGTTACCTTTATTGCAGGATATACTATGTATAGTCGTCTGGCAATACTACGTAGTATTTCGAACGGATATACAGTATTAGTACGTATATGTTGTATTCGTTTTCCGGCGATATAATATCTTACTGTTAATTGTACTATACATCTGGTGAGACATGTGCATACTTTAATCAAGTCAAAAGAGATACATTTCTGCCAAAAAGCAAATGTGACCATTTGTGCAGGACAGATTACTTGGGTACGTGTCGACTATGTACCAATGGAATTGCTGCATTTTGCATGAGTGGATATGATTGGATATAATAATTCGTTTTATATCCAATCATATAATAGTTGAAGCAGAATCCAGGCAATCGGTTGCATACAAATTCGAAGATAAAAAGTCCATTTTCGCCATGTGTTCACTATTATTACTCCACTTTATCTTGATGTTTGTATGCAAGAGGAACTGCCTTTTTTCAAGAGCAAGATGATGGCATCTTGAGATTCCCGTCCAACCTGAGGTGCCTTCATTGACCAAATCGAAGACCCCTCCGGCGGCATTATCTGTGGACGACCCATCGAGAAGCGCCATTCCATTGACTTGTGTGTCCATCGAGCCTGGCCTGGACGGTGGCTTCCATCACACTCGACGTAACGCGTGTCCGTCCTTGAGCCTCGTCCTCCTTACCACGGCATCCCATCCTCATGGCGCAGGAACCTGTGATGTCTTCCCCAGTCGTCGAGGTTGATGCAACGTTACATGACTGCAACGTTGGTCGTCTTGGCAGCGACGACGACAAGTCGAGTTTCATGTGGACATCGTCAACCAGCCAGATCGGCATCGTGGATGTGCACATGACGCTCCTTCCGTCTGGATGGAGCTACCACGTCGCGTACGACATCCTAGTGTCATTTCCCGACCTGCACAAGGAATGGACCGTCCGGCGCAGCCACCACGACTTTGTCGAGCTCCACCGCCACCTCGTGTCCGCGTACGTCCCCATGTTTGTCCTCGCGAGAGTCCATGTTCATCTTGTTCCCGTAGATTCCACACGACCCTCGGCCATCGACGCATGACCCTTCCAAAGGAATCGCGCGTCGAGTTCCAAGTGTCGGTGGAAGCGCGGTACGCCCAGTCCGCCAAGCGCATGCGCGAACGACTCAACGCGTACCTCCATCGCCTCCTGGAGCTCCCCGACATTCCCGCAAGCGCGGCGTTTCGGGGTTTCTTGTCTCCCCGAAGCACGGACCTTGCATCTTCGTCCGACATGAAGCAAACCGCTGCCGACTTGTCGCCGTCATCGAGCGCGTCTGCATGCTCCACGGCCTCGGCGCACCTCAGCGATCATTCCTCTCCGCAGGACATGATGCTGCGTCCACCGGCGCTGCCGCCCCTGTCGTCGGTGGTGCAAATCCCATCCGCCTGCACTTCCGTCGTCCTCTACGGCAGCTCCATCTCCCTCCGGACCTGCGGCGGACTTCGCCTCGGCCTCACCAAGCGGAGCGCATGGAGCGGCAGCCACAAAATGGCGGCGATGGCCAGCGGCGCCGGCATGGTTCTTCTCAGCGGCCCCGTGGGACTCCCTCTCGCCGCCCTCGGCACCCTCGGCACCCGCCACTGGAACAAGGCCGCGTCATTATCCGTCCAGCCCAAGCACTTGGTCAAGCATGACGAATTCATCATCGAAAGCGCGAGTCCATTCAGCGGCGCCGCGCGACCCGTGCATTTCAACGACCTTATCCGGCTCTACAGTGTCTCAAAGCGCCAGTATCTCAAGCTCGTTGAAAGTAGCAGTAGCCACAATCGACGCGGATATGTGACATCGTGCAGCCAATCATCGACCGTCTTTCGATGGGTCTCGCCGCTACACGTGTCTGACGGGCCTATCGTATGCGGCAGCCAAGTTTGTCTGCAAGTTGCTCACGAACTCTTAACCGTCCATAAGGACTTTATTACCACGGGGCCGTCGCCGGCGGTATGCCAGCTCCTTGTGCGCCACCATCCGCCGTGTCTAGCCGCCGCCGACGGCGCGGTCGTTCCCCGTCGTGAACCTGTGTCAGTTCGGATCCTCACGTACAATGTATGGTTCTTGCCGCCGTTGCTGGCGTCGTTGCTCCGCCTCTCGCCGTTCAAGATGGAGCGGGCGCGAGCTATTCCAGCTTACTTGCCCGTGGATGTCGACTTGGTTGTGTTCTGTGAAGTGTTTGATCTAGCCGCCAAGGCCGTGCTGTCGGCGGAAATGAAACGCCGCGGATTCCTGTACGAAACCGTATCCGGACGACGAAGCCGGTTAAAAGCTACCGATTCAGGAGTGTTTGTCATGAGCAGGTACCCGCTGGACGACGCGGACGAGCTGTTGTACGGCGCGGCGGCGACGGGGGATGACAAGGTCGCGGATAAGGGCGCGGTGTACGTCCGGATGACGAAATCCGGACAACACATCCATGTCGTGGCGACGCATCTGCAGGCGTGGAAGACGGACGCGGCGGTGGCGGTGCGGCGGACGCAGCTGGAGATGCTGGCGCGGTGGATTCACGCCAAGAACCTGCCGCGTCGAGATGCCGTGGTGTATGGGGGGGACTTTAACGTGGACGAGGCCGATAAAACCGAGTACGAGTGGATGCTTTCGACGTTAAACGTGAAAAACCCACCCACGGTGGCCGGCACGACTGGCTTTAGCTTTGATCCGGGCACGAATGTCCTGGCGGCGACGGGCAAAAGCAGCGGCGGACACGTCGAACGATTGGATTATGTAGTCTATGGAACCGAGTATCGGCACCCGGGGACCAGCTCGACCCAAGTTCTGCGTCTGAAAGCCACGGAAGGATGGACAGATCCGAGTTTGTACGGCGGGCAAATCGTATACGATCTATCCGACCACTACCCTGTCCTGTCGGACTTTCACTTTGACTAGAACACTAACTAATACTTCGATATTTATAACATTGATATGGGTTGAAAGAGAAACCCACAGTCGTATAGGAATGAATCGCTTGCTCTTACTAGTTAACTATTAATAGTACATGCAATACGTAGTACTACTACTGTACGTACAGACAGTATTAATAGTAAGAAAAGTACTGTACTTGCACCACCACACACCTATTGGTAGTCAGAAGCCACCGAATATTTGTCATTAACCAGAAAAAGCAAGGTGAAATAGTGTGATGGACTCTGATTGGATATTAAAAAGGGCAAGGTGGCTCGCCTTGCGAATTCCATGAACAAGTCAATTAAATTAGTGCGGAATATATACTATATCTCAAACCAGCACTAACCTGTCTAATTTTGAGTGCCAATTTTAGTGGTATATTTTAACCTTCCTTTTTGTATGCATTCGTGAATAGAAATCCAGAGGTTCACTGCATGATTCTTGGTGCATATTCAAATAACGATCTATGATTGGTGCATTTTCGTACCACCTAAATTGGCACTACCGTCATATTGTCGATTTGATAGTACAAATTTGGGGAGGGGGTCCAATCGAATCGCACCGACCAAACCGATCCACAATCGATCTGATTGGTTGTATTTCATTTAGAAGATTTTGATTGGCTAATAATTGTGAGCTCATTTACGAGGTAGCCAATCACTTCGATTCCAACGACATTTCACTCGAAAGCACAACAAATTGCTAGTCAGTCTAAGACTCAAGGATGATTATTATCTTGATTTTTGTATGTGGGACTATAGGTAATTAATTGCTTTGAAGCAATGAATACCAACCATAGTATGCTTGCTTTACACTCTGAAAATGAATATTTCTACGAATCTTGCATCGACACATCCCTTGTTTCTGATTAGTGGTGTCCTTCCTTGACAAAGCGGCGCGCGGGGACGTCAAACAAGCATGGAGCAGCGCGTCCGGCGTAATACTCGATCAACTTGTTGGCTTCTGCGGCCACGGCGGCGGCATTGAACCCAAAGTGTTCCCTCAGCTGTTCGATCGTGGCAGATGCGCCAAACCGGTCGAGGCCAAACTGGGCGTGCGAGTAGTCGCGCCATCCAAACGTGGCGGCCGCCTCCACCGACAGCGTCGGGACGCCAGACGGGAACACAGACAGCTTGTACTCTGGAGAGGTCTTATCGAAGATGTCGCGGCACGGCATCGACACTATGCGCACGCTCTTGGTCGTGAGCAGCTTGGCCGCGTCGATCGCTAGCGACACCTCCGACCCCGTGGCCACGATCGTCAGGTCCGGGCGGCCGGCAAACGACACGTCAAGCTGACCGTGGACGATGTGCTGGAGCACGTACCCGCCAGTGGCGACCGCCTCAACCGAACTGCCGTGGAGGTTGGGCACTCCCTGGCGGGTAAACGTAAGCACAGACGTCTGGGTCGGGTTGCTCAATGCTTCAATGTACGAGCCAGACACTTCGTTGCCGTCGGCCGGGCGGTACAGGTACATGTTGGGCATGGACCGAAGCGACGCGTTCATCTCGATGGGCTGGTGCGTGGGGCCGTCCTCGCCGAGGAATATGCTGTCGTGGGTGGCAATGTACAGAACCCCAAACTGACTCAGCGCCGACACGCGGACAGCGCCAAGGGCGTACCCGATGAAGTTGTAAAACGTCGCGCAGAACGGACGAAGGCCGCCGTGCGCAAACAAACCGTTGCTGATGGACGCCATCGCGTGCTCGCGGACGCCGAAGCGGAGGTACCGCCCCACGGGCGTGTGCTTCTGGAAGTCGCCCGTCATCGTCAGGTGCGTCAGGTTGGACGGCGTCAGGTCCGCCGACCCGCCCACGAGTTCGGGGAAGACGGTCGCGGCCGCGTTCAGCGCCTTTTCGGAAAACTGGCGCGTCGCCAAGCCCTTGTCGGCGGGGGTGAAGCGCGGGAACGCGTCCTTCCAGTTGGCGGGGAGGCCGCCCGTGAAACGACGGGTGTACTCGGCCGCATCGGCGGGGAACGCGGCCGCGTACGCTTGGAACTTGGCGTTCCACGCCGCCTCGGCCGCGGCGCCAGCCTCCTTGTGGTCGTAAAACTTGCGCGCGACGTCCGGGACGTAGAACGGTTCGTTCTTGAGCCCAAACTTGGCTTTGATGGCTTCCGTGTCGTCGGCCTTGAGGGGCGCGCCGTGTACCTTGTACGAGTTTTCAATCTTGGACCCGAGCCCGATGATCGTGCGGATCTTGATGAGCGACGGCTTGTCCGTGACGGCCTTGGCGTTGAGCACGGCGCGGTGGATGGATTCGTGGTCGTAGTTGCCGTCCGTGACGGTCTGCACATGCCATCCGTACGCTTCGTACCGCTTGCCCACGTCTTCTGTGAAACTTAAATCCGTCGACCCGTCGATCGTGATCAAGTTGTCGTCGTACAGGACAATCAACTTGCCCAACCCCAAGTGGCCAGCGAGGGACGACGCTTCCGACGTCACGCCTTCTTGCATGCACCCATCGCCGCAAATAACATACGTGTAATGGTCCACGATCTCATGTCCTTCCTTGTTGAACACAGCCGCGAGGTGCTTCTCGCCGATGGCCAACCCCACGGCGTTCGACAACCCTTGACCCAACGGACCTGTGGACACTTCAACACCCGGGGTGCAGAAGTTTTCGGGGTGACCGGGGCACTTGGAGCCCCATTGACGGAACGACTTCAAGTCGTCGATCGACACGTCGTATCCCGTCAAGTTGAGCATCGCGTACTGCAACGCACATGCATGGCCGTTGGACAAGACAAAGCGATCGCGGTTGGTCCACGCCGGGTTCGTCGGGTTGTACGTCATGACCTTGCCAAAGAGCACATGCGCCATGGGAGCGCATCCCATGGGGGCACCTGGATGACCAGAGTTCCCGGCGGTAGGTTGATCGGCACCCAGCATGCGCACGGTGTTGATACATAGAGTTTCTTCTTCTGGGGTCAAGGGAGCCATGGTGGTGATCTGTGCTTCGGAGCGCGAAATCGGAAATGAGGCGACCGTAGTCGGTTGCAAGACTCGATCCGTATAAAGTGTGCAAAGGTTTATCCGGTATAATCCGGATATGTCATAACTTATAGCCAATCACAGTCTCCATAGCAAGATCCAACCAATCAACGTCCGCGGGTTGTTCAAACCAGAGGAATCTCCATGGAGAAAAACAAACGGGGAATTTTCCCCATTCAATAAATATATGGGTGCACTCTTCTTTACATGTCGCTTGACTGTCAGATCGTGGATAATGGAGTACAGTTAACAGTGTAGTTTAACGGTTAGCTTACTTTGTATTACTAGTACTACTACGTAGTAAGTGTAGATTAACGGTACTACTTGTAGCAGTATGTTTTGGCTAGGATACGCGGTTTGGGCGTCATAATGGTGTCGTCGATGACGCTAAACGGGCGTCACTTCAACGTCGAAAGTGTCGGGGATTGTTATCATCCCACTCAATATATATCCGAGAAAACAAAATACTCTTGCAACAACTGATATTTGCCAAACCTCCAATATATAATACTCACCCTCCACTACCTTACCATGTTGTTACATACTGGTACTAACTGACTGTACCGGTAGTTGAAGCTCTATCAATGGCGGCAATACTTGAGTAATAATTTATTCCGATCGATTCAACGGCATACTATTATATTAATAGTATCAGATTCAGATTCTCATTGTTAGTACATATGGTCTGTTTCGAGATGTTCATTTTCTGGAAAATAAAGTATTACAGGGAATAAAAGCTGAAGGTACTTAACCGGATAATGGTCTTTTTATCCGGTCTGAAACCGTCACGTGCTTACATGCTGCCGACGTCGGGCGGGGGCGGCGACGGAAAGGCCAAGTACAAGAACCGATATGAAGTACTTCAACAGACGTACGAGGAGCGGCTGCAGAGCCTCAGCGACATGTTCCAGAAGTCTCTGGATGAGATCCACGGGGATGAATCCCTTGCGATTCTGCAGCAGGACAACGTGTCGTCCGACTATGTGGGGGTGCGCGTGCTCGAATTGGTGGGTCATGCTCTCCGGGACGAGAAGGAGCACTTCATTCGCACCTTGACCGCCAAGCTAGCCAAGAAGGATGCCAGTCTCAAGGAACTTGTACGGGAGAAGGAAGGCATGACGATGCAGAGAAAGGCCATGCTGGACGAGATGCATCAAGTAGCATCCCACGTGGAAGCATTGCAAGCGCGGTACACGGCCATGTCCACCGACACGAGCGCCGCAGACGCGGAAGTCCAACGCCTTCGTCACGAGAACCAAAGCTTGATCGAGGAATTGTCGGCGCGGGACAGCGACCGCGCCAAGTGGGACGACGAAAGGCGGGGGTTTCTTCTCATGCAGCAGGACTTGGTGCGTTTGCAGGCGATTCACGCCAAGGACGCGGCATTCTACGCGGACGAACGCGCGACGTCCACGGCATCGATCGATCGACTGACGGCAAAGGTGGACGACCTCGAGCAAAGTCGGGCCGCGTCCACGGCCGAGTGCACGACGTTGCGCTTGGCCGTGCAAGAGAAGAGCATCGAGTTCATGCACGCTCAGGACGCCATCGCGGCGCTCCAAGCACAAGTCCAAGCGTTAAGTCCGCTGGAAGCCCAATTAACCGAGCTCCGCGCGACCCATCAAGCGAAACTCCATGAAGTGGACATGCAGCTGTGGGAAGCTCGGCGCAAGTACACGGCCGTAGGCGACCAAGTCCAAGGGTTAATCCATGATCACGACCTCGATCGAGCGCAGTTGGTCGCGACCCACGAAAACGACCGCGCCGTTGCCGCCGACGCTCTCCGAATGTGCGAAGAGCGTTGCCAGCAACTCGAAGCATCATCTGCTGCCCAATTGGCGGCATTACACGCGAAAATCGAGCATCAAGATGGGATAATCCAAGAAACCACGCGGCAATTGCATGCCGCCCGCGAACAAGTCGAGCGAAGTATGGCGGAGCGCGCGGCTTCGGATTTGGAAATGCAAGCCGCGACGGCAAAGCAAGCTCTGCAAAACGCACTTGACAAGGAAAAGAACGCTCGCAGCACACTCCAAGACCAGTTTCAGTCGTACAAACGCGTCGCGGATGGTAAAATGCAGGCGCTCCAAGCTGCGTTGCAAGCCAAACAAGATGCAAATGATCGACTGGAACAAGCCGAGAAGCGCATGCTGCAGTGGCAAGATGATGCTATGAAGAAGCATGACAAGCTGGTTCAAACTATAAAGACAAGGTACCAAGCGGCGGCAAAATCCACGGAAGACTGTGACGCTCGTAAAGCAGACTCAGCCTCTCGCCAAGAACTGGACGTGTTGATCCAGGCCAAGGTGGCAGAATGTACCGCAAAGCACGACGTACCAGGGGAGTTTATCCGGATGAGCCAACACAAGGCTGAATTGGACAAGATGGCGCTGCAGCTGCAATCGGCCCACGTTCAAGACAAAATTCAGTGGGAAGACAACCAGAAACTGCTATTAGATGGCAGATTGGACAGTCTACGTACAGAAATGGACACGTGGAAGGCCCAGTTGTCAGAGGAAAAGGTCAAGCGAGACGAGCTCCAAGCTGCGTTAATGCACGAACATAAGCAACATATGGACACCCGCGAAAGGTTGGACGAACAAGCCATGGCCAAGACGATTCTCGTGCAGCGGTACGACCAATCTGTGTTGGTGGTTTTCATTGAAAATGGACGTTTTTTCACTGAAAATGGACGATTTTTCACTGAATATGGACTTGTTTTCGAACTGAATAATGAAGGACCACTCTGGCTGCCACAACAAAAATCGTCAGAAATCACATCTTTTTGCAACTTTTCAGAAATATTAGGATAATGTTTCAAAGCTTTTGTGTGTTTGGCGACCAAGTCTGACATAAATAAATTGACAACTACGTCGAATGTTTACTGTTTACTACTGATAGAGAAAAGTTTTGAAAAGCAACTGTCCAGTTTTTACCAACATGATATTCTATCAATAGTTCAATTCATTCGGTCATAGTATACAGAGGTCACATAAAAAAACATTTCGAATTGTTTTTCTCACCTCCCATTCAAAAAGGGAATTATTCACTGCCAGATTAGTATTTGACATCAAAGTTTCTATCCATAAATAAAAAATCAAGTCTATACGATAAACAAAAAATCAAAATTAGTAATGGTGATTTATTAAAAGGTTTAGGCCGAGTCTGGATAGAAACTTGATGTCAAATACTAATCTGGCAGTTAATAATTCCCTTTTTGAATGGGAGGTGAGAAAAACAATTCGAAATGTTTTTTTATGTGACCTCTGTATACTATGACCGAATGAATTGAACTATTGATAGAATATCATGTTGGTAAAAACTGGACAGTTGCTTTTCAAAACTTTTCTCTATCAGTAGTAAACAGTAAACATTCGATGTAGTATGTCAATTTATTTATGTCAGACTTGGTCGCCAAACACACAAAAGCTTTGAAACATTATCCTAATATTTCTGAAAAGTTGCAAAAAGAGATGATTTCTGACGATTTTTGTTGTGGCAGCCAGAGTGGTCCTTAACAGATACTAAAATTAAATCACTTGTTGCTCTGCTTTTTTTATATATATTTATACATTGTCCTATTTTTACAGAACCGCCCCACGTTGTAGCTACCCTATATTTTAAAAAATCCCTTTTCTATTTTAGAAATAATACTGCGTAGTATTTGTGTTTTAGATGTTGTACTAATTGAAATATCAACAAAAACAATGGATTGTATTTATAAATATATATATATATATATTGGAATACCAATCGAAACAATATAAATAATGAATATGGTATGTTTTTTTTAAACTTTAGCAAAATCACTTATTTTGGTGTTTCCATTATTTATTACTTCGACGTAGTTGTTGAGCTGTTCTACCAACATTTCCTTGGGCGGTGGACCTGCGAAACATGATATTTATAAGTTGAAGAGGTATCTGTGATGCATTTGAGCGAATCATATTGTGGCTTTGATTCGTTTTGAGCCAATCATATTGCAATTCGATTTCGGGGTGACTTGTAGGGCAAATTCGAGCTAATAAACGCAAATCCTCCGTTATATATTAGACTGGAACAAGCCAATGTAAACGTGGGGCGACTCAAGGCGCTGGTGGTGGACCAGCAATCGGCGCTGCGGGATTGGGAGACGAAATTTGCCACCTTGCGACGCGATTACGACGACAGCCAATCAAATGTGGCCACGTTGACCGTCGAGTTGGGTCATTCCACCGTACGAATACATATGCACGGTCATTTTTTACCCTACAGTCCTAGTTTTACCCTAAATTTGGCTGCCTTTTGTGCTGATTCTTTGCCAAATAGATCCATCGATCGATTGTTTGTACTGACGTTTGTATGTAAAATTCGTCCAGTGTCACACTAATTGAAGATATACACTAATTCAATGTTGCATTGGTCGAAAAGTGGTGGATTTGATTGGGTACTTGACTATTGATCTGGGTTTTGATTGGTCGATATATCGATTGATGCTAGTCCTTCGATTCTACTCGAATTTCGAATCGAGGGTTGGAATCCTCCCATTCCACCCTAACGTTACGAGGATCCTTGTGTGGGGTTGGAATGGGTGGTGTTTTCATGTTGTTTTTTGTATAGGAATGTGTGACACAGGTGAAAAGTGACGTGGAGATGCATATCCAGTCGATACATGAGCTCCGAACCAACCAGACGGCAGCATCTGACGCCCTGCTGTCGAAGCTCTGTGACAAGGACGCGTCACTGGCGTCGTTGCAAGAGAAGCTACATGTCACGCAAGTCACTCAAACGAGTTTACTCAGTCAAGCCAAAGCCGACTTTAGTGCCAAGGAACTCGAGTGGACCGGTCAAGTGACCGAATTACAGGCCAAAGTGGACGTTCTGACCAACGAAATCCACATCCAGACTCTAGCGCATGCTGAATCTGAAGATAAAATCCAACAACTGGAGGCCGATGTGGACAGATGGCGCCAGGAAGCGGACCAGAATCAGGTGGAATTGGCCAGTCTTCGCCTTAAAAAGCGCCAAATTAAACGGACCCTCGAGACCAAACTAGATGAAGTGCATGCCACCACCACCCACGCTCAAGACAAGTGGAACCACCAGGTACACGGCATTTTTGTATTTATATATATATTATATATATATATAGGACGGACGTATTCTTGCAGGACACATAGAAGTATGTTTTGGAGAGGTGTAAATATATGTATATAACTCCTAATAATGATACCCATGGTCTTACCGCTATATATATATATATATCATGGTCAAATTCCGATACTGGTACATTATGGCAACATGATCCATTTATTTCAATAGGTCCTTCTTGATATTTTCAGAGAAAGATGAATGAATTGTTCTTTACTGGTATGATATATATATATATTGTAACTTATCTGTATGGTTGATATATTGTCCTTTTCACCCAAATTTGGACTGGGCAGTTTATTCGAGAAATCGACTTGAAGCACAAGTTTATACCGTCAAATGTATACTATACAAACATTGCATGTAAACTGTTCGACTGGGATAAATAGGCCAAATCCTCGGGCCAAGCATTGCTGAAGTACCATTGGTTAGAATTTTGGATTCAATCAATCTCATTGGCTAGTCAATTGTGTGCTCATTCGATTGAGCACCCAAACACTCCAATTTTGAATAATCGACTTGCCAATATATAAATATTTATATATATATATATATGGAAAATTGGATTGAATATGATGTACTGTAGGTGCAAATGCAAGAGAAGGCGAGATTGTACCAGTGGACACGATACATTGCCGTCCTCACGACCAAACTGGCCGCGTTGAGAGGGGACTTGAGGACGTGCCACGTCACGATCCAGCAACTTCTAGAGCAACAACAGCCCCATATACAATACTTAGCAGTGCAAATCCAGGCCAAAGCAGCCACGTTACTCCAGAACTTGCACTCAAAGTATACCCAGCAACTGTCAGATGAAAACCAGAAGTGGCAGCAACGATACGACAGCGATTTAGACCAACTTGGTCGCCAACATGCACATGACGTGGCACTTTTGAAGCACTCCCACGACACTGAGTTGCTCCAACGAGTCGAATTATACCAAGCAACGACTGCAGCAACGCAAGTCGAGGTATATATATATATATATATATTGTGCATTTCACCCAAATTTGGACTTGCGAGGCATTTCACCAAGTAGCATTGGAATCCATTTGACCTTGTTTTAGCTTGTACAAAGTATACTATACAAAGATTAGTATATATATGGTTTTGCCCAATGCGGAGTTTCGATTGGCAGAAACTCCACAGGACGTGATTTGATTGGCTTAGGCGGTTCATTCGCTTAAGACATTCGATTATTCTGCAGCTGAGGACCTCCCGTTTCGAATCGATTAGACTATATATATATATAACCAGTAGGATAACTAATATGAGAGACGATATAGATGGCGGCGATGATCAAGGAGAGAGACGACGAGTTAGAAGCGGTCAAAGTGAAGATGGATGGACATTTGAGAAATGTGCAGTTTCTGGAGAAAGAGCTCGAGTTCGTGAGCAACGGACGGGCCAAAGACGTGGAGGAGCTGAAAAAGTGCCACGTCATAGACAAGCAACTTCAACTTGATACATTCCAAGCAGCGATTGGTCACGTGCAAACCCAGCTAAGCGACGAGAACCTCAGGTTCGCAGCACTTTGCCAAGCTCTGACTCGAATTGCTCGCCAAGTTGCTCAGCCACACGATGAAGACTGGGCCGTCACCATCTTGGCCGAGTCAGCGGTGCCCAAGTTCAAGAAAGCGGTGCAGAAATGGATGGATGAGATAATTCAAAGGATTTTAGCCAATCAAAACGCCGCCATCGCAGCGGCCACGCGGCCGTTGCAGGACGAAGTGGCACGGCATGTCTTGAGAGGTCGATATATATATATATATTATATATATATATATATTCACGAATCTATGATGTAGATAAGTCCACATCGGAGCTAGCAATGCCCTTAGTGCCGAATATGGCCGAAGAATTAGCTGCCGCGAAACTAACGATCGAGCGGTTAACTGTTAGTTGCAACCACTTGCAAGACCTAGTAACGACAGCGTCGCAGGAAAAAAGCCAACTTGAACGCACATGCGACCAACTTGAGAACGATAAACTGGAGCTGCGTACATATTTGGACTTGGCAGATACCGCCCGACAGACGGCGCAAGTGGATTTCTCCACTCAACTCCAGCATGCATTCAACCAATCAGAAGAAACTCTGCATCAAGTCAAGGTATTTTTCTATATATATATATATATATATATATATATAGAGGTTTGTCGAATCCATATTGCATCATGTTGGAGTTCGGATTGGTTGATTATACGTGTCTCCTTTCTGCCAGAGCCAATCAAATCCACGTAAAAGTGGATTAGCCAATAGTGTCGATTTGTCTGGAAATTTGTAGTACCGAATCTACAATACTATTAATAGTGTATGTTTATATATATATATATAAACAATATATATATATATTGGGTGGTCTACTCTAAATTTCCTCTGGCGGTTGGTTGACCTAATCGCCAGACCTGCGAAAGATAATATAGGACTACGTTGAAAAGGTCTCTTGTGACTATTCATTCGTTTGAACCAATCATATTGCAATCTTCATTGTTTTTATCCAATCACACTGCGTTTCTCGATGGGTGAAATGCACAATATATAAATATATATTATATATATATATATTAGACGGCGGCATCGCATGAAATGGACCGACTCAAACGGGAATGCGATCAAGCGGTACACAACATGCAAGAAGAACTGGACCACCAAACTCGACAAGTGACCAAGTTGAAGGTCGCGATGGCCCATCAGGTGGATATATATATATATATATATATATATATATATATATATATATATATATATCCACCTGATGGGCCATCGCGACCTTCAACTTGGTCACTTGTCGAGTTTGGTGGTCCAGTTCTTCTTGCATGTTGTGTACCGCTTGATCGCATTCCCGTTTGAGTCGGTCCATTTCATGCGATGCCGCCGTCTAATATATATATATATAATATATATTTATATATTGTGCATTTCACCCATCGAGAAACGCAGTGTGATTGGATAAAAACAATGAAGATTGCAATATGATTGGTTCAAACGAATGAATAGTCACAAGAGACCTTTTCAACGTAGTCCTATATTATCTTTCGCAGGTCTGGCGATTAGGTCAACCAACCGCCAGAGGAAATTTAGAG